TATCTATCTATCTATCTATCTATCTATCTATCTATCTATCTATCTATCTATCTATCTATCTATCTATCTATAACTTATATATGGCTGCCTAACTCAGTGGTATAGAGCACAAAAATAAACAATCCATATAGCAGCCTGTCACTAAGATAAAGAGAGAAATAGGGTAGGTACTGCCTGGATACACTTTCTTGCCATCTCCTCAGAAAAGGGTTGGAAGAAGGGATGAACTAAAGCCTATAGAGCTACACATGCCGTCACATATGCACACATTCTGTAAACCCATAAATTAAGCTTTGAAACTCCAATAGTTGAGTTCAAAATTATGCAAGCTACAGTGTAACAAACCACATTATGCTTAAAGTCACAAGTGCAAAGGCGCAGCAGAAAAGAGACTTTTATGGGGAAATGGGCAGTTAATTAATCTCTGGTTCTCCCAGTAGGGAGAATAAGATGAAGAATGAGAAAGAGCCAGGAGGCAGGACAAATATGGAATTGTTGGTATACTGTCTACATTCATAAGATAAACCAAGGTGCAATTTGGCCCTCTGTTTTCTTCACTTCTTTTGAGGCTTGATGGGCCACAAAGCTGAAGAAGATATGTAGAAACCATTAGCAAAACATGAACATAACCTAAAAAACCCAGAAAGTATCAGAAAGAAACTAAAGAATATGTGCCTTGACTCTGTTTGATATAGGAGGGATGGATGGAGAAAATATTGTCAGGGAGTCAAGATTCTATTAGTGTATCCTAAATCAGTAAATCTGAGTTCAAGGAGGATATACCTCTTGTGGTATATGTTTCCTCACCTGGCCTTCTTTGAGGATCTGACAGATTGCTACACATAGACAAAGATCAAGGTACACTGGTTGGTTCATCATGTTGGGTGACTCCTTTCATTCTGAAATTGATCCTCTCCTCTGTCCTCTCTTTCTTCTATTTCCATTTTTCATTTTTATTGCACACGGGCATGCAAAGAAATGAAACATGGGCAGCCAATATGGATTTAACTTATTTTTTAAAAATAAAATAAAATGAAAGTCCTTTGAGCAGAGCTCAAGACCTGGTGACTTTATCCTGACATAATCAGTTAGTTGTCTTGGCAACTGTGCAGAAATGGGTGGGCACTGCATTCTTTCAAGATGTCTTTTGGACTTTGTAGCCAGCACTTAGTTTTGGACTTTTTGGTGGTCCCTCCTTCCAGCACTGTCCAGGAGAATGGATCCTCCAGTTTGACTAACAAAACTATGAAAACAAAAACCTGGTGACTGTTGATGGGCAAGTCATACCAAACATATTTTGGTCATACCATATTACATATTTGCACCCTTTTTGATCCATATTTACCAAAATATGGATCAAAAAGGGTGCAAATATGAAAATATGATTGCTTGCTTAGTTGTGTTGTCTGATGTTGGCCAGTGAAGATGAAGCTGAGCTGGAGTAGCATTAAATGGTTCTTAGCCTGTTGCTAAGGAATGTTGCTTGAGTGTGGCTCTTCTCAACAAGGCACACCATGATATTCCTAATCAATTCTTAGATGTCTCCTTTATCCTTAACCCTTTTAAATACAGGGCACAGATTAATGTATATTTTCTGTTGTAGAACAGGAATTTGGAAAAATCCTGAAGATTGAAAAAATAAAGAGATCACACTCAAGAAGATATGAGAAAGAGAAATTGACCAAGATGCAGGGAATTGCTACATATGCTTAGCACACTGAACCCCCCAAATAAGTCCTTTTTCACCTAAGCATATTGCTTGAATTCATCCCATTTGGTTAATTCAGTGTTCAGCAGATCATGCAAAGCCAGAGAATTAGATTAGTTTCACAACATGCTAAGGTAACTCCTGGAAAGCATATTTTGTAGACAAAGTCAAAGAATAATGGCTTAGCTAAAGAAAAAAAATAAGGTTCTTACAGATCTAGTTTCAATAGAACTACAGTCACAAATTCTCCAGTCACAAAATCTGGGAGCCATGTTGGCAGGAAATATGGGAATTGTAGTCTAATTCATTTATAAACCACCAGGATGGAAAAGATTACAGGACAACACCATTACGTATTCTCATTTTTATTGTATGTGTAAATAATACACAAGATATTTGGGTGTGTGTGTGTAAAAATTTAAAGACCACCCATCTCACTCTCAAAGTGATGTCTCTAGAGCTACAGCTGCATCAGTGAAGAGCTCTTTGAGTCTACTTATGTGGCTTGCCATGGCTAACCAATTATATATTCAGAAATCACACATTAGGTAGGATAGTATAGTTGTTTTTCACTATTACTTGATTGATTAACTGACTGACTGACTGGCCAGCTGATTATGTACCATCAAATTTTAGTGAATTCATCGATAGATTTTCTCCAGAATGATCTGTCCCAATTTCATTGATCATTCTCAAACAGTTGGCATTTAAGGTTTGGTGCTTACAATTCAAGAGATATTATACAGTTACAAAGACTAAAAGCCATAGCTAGTTTATAGTCTTACAGTTTAACAGCATTTTCTTAACTTGTGCCTAGCAATCCCCATGATGGCAGATCACAGTTGGAGTCTTTTTAATGATTTGATTTGGTAAAATGTAGAGATTCTGGGAGGAAAGACCTGGATTCACATTTAGCTCAAATCAACTTTGTCTGCCTTTGATGTTTGGATTGACAGCTGATCAACTTAAGGCCAGATTCTTAACTAGCTGAGGAAGACAAATTAAGAAAAAAAGTTAAATGGAATGTGTCCAGGCTAAGAGATAGCAGTGTTTACATCATATTGCTTTTCTTGTTTATCACAACTGGTTTTTTTCCCTTAAGAGTTGATTTACAGCATTAGGTTCATTCACGTCTCTTGCTCTCATTTTTTTCTGTAAATATATCTGAGAAAAATTTGTTATAAATGACTTTTTTAAACCCTTTCCCTTTGACCTTGGTTCAGGTAGTCCTTGACTTATCGCCACAACAGCCCAAAATTTCCATTGCTAAGCAAGACAGTTGTTAAGTGAGTTTTATCCCAATTTATGACCCTTCTTGCCACAGTTGTTAAGTGAATCACTGAAGTTGTTAAGTTAGTAACACTGTTGTTGAATGACTCTGGCTTCACCATTGACTTCGCTTCTCAGAAGGTCACAAATGATGATCACATGACCCCAGAACACTGAAACCGTCATAAATACATGTCAGTTGCCAGGCATCCAAATTTTGATCACATCACCATGAAGATGCAGCGATGGTTGTGTGAAAAATGATCATAAGCCACTTTGTTCAGTGTTGTAATTGTGAACGGTCACTAAATAATTGATTTTAAGTCAAGAACTACCTATATATACTTCATGGTCTTGCCAAAGGTTTTTGTTGCCTTGCTTTTTGCAAATGGCATCACAAGTATAATTAGTTACACTCATTCAATGATTATTTTATTTATATTTAGTTTACACTTTTACAAGAAAGAAAAGCAAATGTTCAGGAAGGTTGTGAGTCAGCACTAGGAAGATGAATGACAAAATGGAATGATCATGGGAAGCTGATAGATGAATCTCTGGAATGAAGAAATTGGGAGCGGGACTCATAATTTCAAAAAAGTGTATAATATTAGTGGAGGCATTATTTATTCAAGTGTTGGGGGAAATGGTTGCTCACTGGTGAATTTATAAAACTGGCTGAAATTGAACACTAAGATGAATCCATAATCTGTTACATCCCTGCTTTTCCCCAAAGGACTATAACCTTAGAGTTTATTGTAGGAAAAAGGCTTTGAAATGTCCCAATGGTTCCCTTCCCCCCCCCACCCCCCCTGCAGAATGAAAGCATTCCATCTTATGTGTGGAGTAGCAGAAAGACTCCAGAACACTCACCTCACGACTGGAATTGCATCTTTACATAAAGGGAATCACATTTCAGAACTGAAGGGGGCTCAAATCATGAAGAAAAAGGTAAAGAGGCTTTTATAATGGTTGGGTTCGCACAACATAGTAAACCAAAATTAAATAAACCAGTGCACTCAACCACTGTTCTCCTAATTGGATCTGAAATCTGATCAATCCCAAAGGAAAGGAGATGTGACCATGACTTGCAAATCAAACATAATCTCATAGGTAAAGGTGAGCCCTAAAGATGAAATATTTTGGATGCTGAAGGTAATCAGAAAGGTCGCATACAGAAAAGCTCAGAAAGGAGCCCTACTATTGGACTATTTGGTGTGGGGGGTGTGGGGGGTCTTATCTAGAATCATTGCATAGATGGAAAGAATTATTGAGGAAGGGAAGCCATTGTCACTTTGGAAGGATCAACTAGAATAATGATAAAACCCTAACCAATGGAAGCCTGCCTCCGCCTTCTCTTTTAATCCTTCCTCTCTCTGCTTGGCAGATTTGTTTCCCTGCAAGGGGGGGGGGGGCATAGTGAGAAGGGGCAGCTCTGCAGCTCTGCCTGCAGCAACCTTACCAACATACAGCACGCCTTCCTTGGTCTTCTCCGCGGCCACCGCTACCCCTTCCTTGGTCTTCTCTGCTGCAGCAACAACCCCTTCCTTTGCCTTGGACAAGCCCTTCATAAACACATCCATCCCGGCACTGAGCTCTGCATGGAGACAAGACACCGGTGGAAGATGGCTTCAGCAAAGATTTTGGGTGGGGGGGGGGGGGGGGGCGAATGAGTCAGGCTTTAAAGAGATAGGGAGTAACTCCGACTATACTTCACAGTACAGTAGTCACAAAAATACCTTGTTCACATTCTCCAGCAGTATCTCCTTGCAAGCACTGCCTTCCTGCCAGCTAAGTGTGCTGGAACAGGCAGGAGACCGTCTCTTTTTGGGTCTCCAAATGAAGAGGGGAAGGGAGGGTTGGGATGTCTGGGCACCTCCATAGCCATTGTTGGAGCCCAAGTTGGTCCCTCGGGGAAGGGTAACCTTTGCCCCCCCCCCCCTCCCAATTCAACAAGTCTGGGCATAGTTATCACTGCTGCAACAGCTGGTCCTCCTCGCCCTGATCTGCCACCCTAGCCCAGGCCTACCTCGCCTGCCTCAGGGGTTGCAGCGCCGTCCCCGTCCCCCCCCCCGTCCCCCCGGTGCAGAAAGCAACACCTTTCGAGCCCGGTTCCTCAAAAGCATCGCTGACGATCGCGGGGGCGGGGGGGGGGGACCGCGCGCGCGCGTGCGAGGATGCTTTTTCAACCCACGAAGGCGGCGAGGGTGACAACGAGGGTGACTCCGCGTCCTTGAAACCAAGAGGAGGAAATGGGGGAAGAGACGACCGCGGGTGGGAGGGAGGAAGAACGGCCGTAGATTTTTGGTGGGCAGAAAGAATAGCCGAGAAAATGCGCGCCATCTCCTTTCTCCATCTTGCCCCGCTTTGCAAAGGAAGCGGGGGGGAAAAGGCTACGCTTGCCGGAGAGAGTGCAACAACCCTGAGCAGACCTGAGGGCTTCACCTTCAGGGCAGCGTTAATGACCGACCTGCCGCCCCCACCCCCCCCCTCATCTTTTCCCCATCCGAGCGGACACCCAGGATCTTGGTGGAGGGCGCGGGGAGGGGGGGAGGGAGGAAGCGTGCCGAGGCGCCACTCACCTGCGGTGGGCGATTGCGCTGGACTCGGGTGCGTGTCTGTCGGAAGGTTCAGATCATTCCGGGCCGGAGCGGGTTGGGCGGGCGGGGCTGTTGGCGGGCAGGCGGCGCGGTGCAGCGGGGGAGTCAGGGCAGCTCTGCCATGGAGCGGCTGGGGGAGGAGGCGGAGGAGAGAGGAGGCGGAGAGGAGCGAGCAGACGAAAGACGGGGCCTCCGTGGCTACCGCTGCTGAATATTGCAATGAGCCGCCGTCTCCCTATACCCGCCGGCGAGGGGATTTCATCATAGCACGCATATCTGGGCTCCCCGCCCCTCGGTCCTGCCCAGATGCAGCAGCAAGACACCCCTCTCCCCCACCCCCACCCCGGCCTAACTTACGGCCCGGTGACTTGGTCCCCGGGCATCTGAAAGAACGCAATACCCTTCCCTGCCCCTTAGCGGAGAAGCAGCTGGAGCAATGAGACAAGAGCCGGGTGGGGGTGGGTGGGCGTCTTAGCTGAGTTTGCATAGATAGAGGGAGGCAGGGAGACCCCTGAACTCAGAAGGCAGCTGCGGGATGTAAATCCACAGGCCTGGTCTTTGGGGCAGACCTCCTACCTTCCTTGATTGTCAAAATATGCATTGTTTTAGCTCAGGTTTTTAGCAGGTGGCCCTGCCAAGCCAGTCTTTTTCTAGGCTCTGAAGCTAAATAGATTCTAGTCTGGCTAAGAAACCGTAGGTTAGTCTGGCCTGAAAAGCTGCCCTGTCATTTGGAATAAGGTGAGAGTAAACAGTTGACAGAGACAGGTGGCATGGTTAAGCAACATAGGCTTCAGGGGGTGGTTGACCTTCAGGATAGAAAAAAAAATCCTTCCTTGGCATCTGATTGGCCTATGGGAACAAGCAAATTGTGTCAGCAGCTGGATCGTTGGTTTCATATAAAGAAGATCTTTCGTAATGCAACCAGGAAAGTCATGTTGATTTTTGTAGGATTTACTTGTACATTAAGTAAAAATGTACATAGTTGCTTATGCACCAGAGACAAATTTCTTATGTGTGCTTGGCCACTTGGCCAATAAAGCTATTTCTATTCTATTCCTATTTCTATTCCTATTCTAGTGTGTGTATAATAATACACATGCACACACACGTCTTCCAACAATGCACCTATTGCTGCTGTAACAAAGTCCATCTTGCTTCTGATCATCCTCTTCTCTTTCTCAGCATTACAGCTTTCTTCATATAATCAATGTATCCATAGTAAGAAAATGTATGGTTGTGGTGTTTATCTTGGCTGCTGATTATCACTTTTGATGTTTTGTTGGTTTTCTGCTGTTTCTTGTCTGTTTGCTGTTCACAGCTGCTTGTTTGAGGTGGGAAACTACCAGTATAAAAAAATCGAATATAAACAAATAGGTTTGAAGACAATGATTCCATTTGACAAATTAATATAAATTTCAGATATAATGTAAGAATGTTGCTAAATTAAAGATCTTGTAGTAATCTGAGGTCAATTTTAGATAGTTAAACTAATAATTGTGGGCAATACAGAGAGATTGGCATCTGCCAATGAAACAGATTCTTCCCTTCCTCCACCTTCCTGTAGAAGAATGGCTCTGGGGGCTACAGGGACTACCTAATATGATTTGCAATTCATGGAAATAAATAAGTACAAGAGGAAAGAGAGCAAAGAAGAGCCCCATTGCACAAATTTACACTGAAGGTATCACTATTTAAATATGTATATCATACAGTATATGTTGTGAGTGTAGGGGGAATGGATGGAAAGATGGAAACAAATATTACTCCATTCCCCAAACAAAAGGCAAGTGGAAGCCATTCCTCCTATTCCACCCCCACCCCACCCACCCAAAATACCCCATAATTTAAACCTATCATACCATGCAGGTGTGAGAAAAAAAGACTAAATACAGTAAATAAAGAAACTTTGATTTCACTGTAAATAAGGTTTGCACATAACGCATAGCAGCCCCTAGATTTCTTTCATGGTGCCTTCAGATCTAGAGTTGATGAGAGTTACCTTACATTATGCATGCATATATGTATACTCACATAAAAATATAAGGACATAATAGTCAGAAACCTACAGTTAGGTGTTTTTTTAAAAGGCAATATGGTTGTAACCTTATGTAAAATTTAGAAGGTTTTATTCCACTGAGTAGATGTAATATATTACATTTATAGGAGTATATTTTACAATAAATGAATTACGCAATGTATGTATTTTGGTATTTGTTTTTCTGCCTTTGTTTTGCATTATGTATTTGTACCATATTGGATTGCAGATGATGTGATTGACAGGAGAGCCGGTTAGTGTTCCATGGAGAAATATGTTAAAAACAAGTTATTGCTGACTGAGTCTCCATCTGTGGGGGAAAAATTACTTCTTGGGTTACAAGAAGCAGACGTTATTATTAGGGGGTTTGCACTGCTTTTTCTCCTGAAGAAACTAAGATTAGATCATGGATCACCTGAATCCATACAAATGTCAGTGAATATAGATAAAACATATAAGACTTTCAAATGAAGGAGCAAAACATTATTATAGGAATAAAATTTAAATTCATGAAACATTTTGGAGCTTTGCAACAATTTGGGGCAATGTACAATGTATGTAAGAACTGCAAGTTCATGGAAAATGTACACAAATAAATCTTAGTCCTAACAATCGCAATGTTATCATGCTGGCTTAGAATGGCCAAAACTGTTCTCTGCTTGCTCAGGCATCCATCTGGGCGATGGTTATTATAAGGATTTCATTTCTGAAACTAGATACATATTGTGAGCTTTTTTGAAAAACTTGTATATTGATTTCTGTTCCACTCTGGAATGGTGAAGCTAGATACACTGCATATCCTTAAAGGCAGCTCTGCTTCATCATCAGTCCGGATATATGAATTCCAGAAGTCAGAGATAATAATAACACCTCTTCTGAATCTCCAGGTACTACTCATGGTACTTTAAAACAAAGCAGATCTTTTGGAGATCTGTTGGAGAGTGGGTGTTCATGGTCTCCATTTTGACCCCCCAAAAGAAATTTCTGGACAGGCAGGCAGGAGCCGCATATTGGTGAGGGACCAACATACTGGATTATGAGGACAGGAATTTAAAATGAAAGCAACTCACTACATATATGGGTAGATAGATACATCAAACATTAGTAGTATAGTATTTATTGTCCACCTGAACAAAAGACATGTGAGCCATTAAGCTGTAGAATGCTGATCTATCCCTAAAGGTGTTCTGAAAACTGATTAAGAAAGAGATCTATATCTACCCTGACTTATTCACAGCAAACATGTTAGAAATGGGCTATCTTGGAGGGGTCATTTTTTTCTGGACATTTCTTGTTTTCCTCTCTCTTTTTAGATCTCAAAGATCTGCTCTTTCTACAACCTTTGCTATCCAAATGTAATTGCATTTTCATTCATCTCAAGATGCTATAGTAGTGTTTCTCAATTTTGGCAACTTTAGGATGTGGGAACTTCAACTCCCAGAATTCCCCAGCCAGCATGAGAAACACTGGGCTATAACAATGATTTATTTTCTGTCCCATCATGAAGTTTGCACTTCCAGGGTCCTCATATCTTCAGCCAGATTCCTGTTTTACTCCTGCAATAACTTTGAGTTCCAAGCATTGACAATTTAATGCTTCTTCACCTATCTGTATAATCTTTTCTTACTATTCTTGTTCTGTATTCTGTACAGTGGTAGATTTGTCTTCTGTACAGATGCAGATAGATAAACTCAACAAAACATCCATAACAAAGTGCTTTTATTGGTTCATCAGGTATCCTCATAACTCACATTTGTGATGAAATTCTTCTTTAACGACCAATCCTTTGCATATCTGTCTTGTAGGTAAAAAGATGGTTATCTTCTATCCTTTTTCCCTCATGTCATAGCGATAGAAGTAGAAGTGTTACCATGAGTCTGTGAGTTCAGCCAAGGGTGAGGAAACCTCCACCAGCCCATTGAGGGTCAATTTAGTGACCAATCAGAATTATAGATGTGGTCACGTGATATGGACTACATTTCCCAGGATACCTTAACTACATTTACCATGATGCATTCCCTTAAGGGGACAGCTCATAATTCCTAAGTAACTATCCAATTCCCATACACTGGCTGGACAGCACAATTCTCTTTATTCCTATATATTTGAATGCTTTATCTACCTAGTACATAATTCTATGTCATTTCTTTTCTTTATATTAAGCTGACTTCTCAAATATTTCCTGGGATGTTTATCTGAGAATACTTACATGAATCTCATTGTTTCTGTCACTAGTTCAGTTTCGGTCCCAAATTTGCTATTCTGTATTCTCTCTGTATAGATGGGTTACTGAGGCCGAGGCTTGTCAGGGGTCACCTGTAATAATATGCCTGTGTTTCCTTAACTATGATTTATTGAAGAAGTTCAAGTATCTGGATTGATGAGGCATGATAGTAGTGGTTATAAAGCAATATTGCAGACTAATTCTGCCAACGGTGAGGAGTTTGATGCTAACTGGCTCAAAGTTGACTAAACCTTCAATCCTTCCAAGGTCAGTAAAGTGAGCAGCCAAATTGTTGAGGACAATATGCTGACTCTGTAAACCGCTTAGAGAGGGCTGTATAGCACTATAAAGTGGTATATAAATCTAAGTGCTATTGCTATTGATGCTGAACACTCTAAAACCATAAATATAATTGCAAAATACAGTGCCAAATTCGCAAAATATGCCAAACAAAATCATATCATAGCTTAACACAAGTGCATGAATCAAATCATTGTAGTGAAGAGCTGGTTCTCATAAGATCAGAAGAAATCAACCTAAAGCTATATTTGTGGCTTATGAAAATAAAAGCAAGTGGAAACTTTTAAAAAATTATTTCCTGCTGTATAAACAAATGACAACAAATCCTTATACTTTTTAAGCATGTTATTTCTCTATATTAAATTTATCAGTGAAGAGTTTGGGATGTTTGGGATTTTGAAAAATAAAACTTTTTCTGTATTTTTGAAATCAGGATTGCACTTTTTTCCTGGCAAGGAATAGGTATATA